TCTTTCTACTGCCTTTATAACGACCGAGCCAATCATTGAGCTTGGTGTCAAAAAGTCTGACTCCTTCAAACCAAAGACGAAGTTCAAGGGGAGGTGGAGATAGGGATAAATCATCCAAAGCGATAAAGATTCGAGCGGCGCGACTAAGCCATCGAAAGCCAATAATGGGGATATGAAGGACAAACAATCTATTCAATGTTACAACTACAATGGCCTTGGGCACTTAGCGAGGAAGTGTCCGTAGAAGAACAAAATCCATGCCATCATGGAGAAGGATGGGGAAGAGATCGAGTCTCTCAAGCTTGGCTCCATACTTATTACTGTGGAGGTCAAGAATGGACCAAAGAATAAGGGGTTGATATTCTTGGAAATCAACGTTGTTGGCCAAAAGTTGAGTACACTAGTTGATACTTTGCCTTGGAGTTATTTATGTCAGAACAAGTAGACAAAAAGGTTAGTCTTTATGTGGAGAAGGCAAGTGAAACCATCAAAATTGTCAATACCAAAGAAGTTTCGATTGCAAGAGTCACAAAGGGAGTGTAGTTAGTCGTTGAGGGTTGGTACAGAAAGGAAACCATCAAGATAATCCCTCTTGACGATTTCGATTTTATGCTTGGATTGAGTTTCTTATACCAATCAGTGTTTTCCTAGTGTTTTTTGCCGATTGTTATGCATATGGATGCGAAACAACATTGCATCATTCTAGTGAACCGAGGGTCCAGAGTAGAGGCCAATATCTTATTCGCAATCCAGTTCTCAAAGGTGGCGCGCAAGGAGGAGCCGACCTTTTTGGCTATCTTGGTGTGTGATGTTGTGATCACAACTAAGGAAGTTCCTACTGAAGTGGGACATGTGTTGGCAGAATTCAAGGATGTGATGTATGTCGAGTTACCGAAGAAGTTGTATATGAAAATGAAGATTGATCACAAGATTGAGATTGTGTCGAATGTGGAGCGTAGAGCCACTCGCCCAAGCTCTTTATAGGATGGCTATGCCTGAGTTAGAGAAAATGCACACACAGTTGAAGGATCTCCTTGATGCTGGTTACATCCGACCTTCCAAATCACCCTACGGTGCTCCGGTGTTGTTTCAAAATAAGCACGATAAGTCACTTTGAATGTGCATCGACTATAGAGCTTTGAATAAGCTTACGGTGAAGAACAAGTATCTGATTCCTCTCATTGTGGACTTGTTTAATCAACTTGGTGAAGCAGGTGGTTCACTAAGTTAGACTTGTGATCGGGCTATTACCAAGTCAGGATAGATGAGGGAGATGAACCGAAGACAACCTATATGACGAGGTATTATTCTATGGATACGTTGTTATGCCTTTTGGCCTTACGAATGCTCTTTCCACTTTTTGCACGTTGATGAGCAAGGTACTACAACCCTTTCTAGACTTGTACTTTACGTAGATATATTGTGGTTTATAACAATACCTTGGAGGAGCATGTCGAACACTTGAGGAATGTGTTCATGGTAATTCAAGATAATAAGCTTTATGTTAAGGTAGAAAAGTGCACATTTATCTAAAAGGAAGTTTCGTTCCTCGGCCATATTGTTGGAGATGGCGTGATCAAGATTGACAAAGACAAGATTCAGGCCATCGAAGAGTGGGAAGCACCAAACAAGGTAACGAAGTTGAGATCGTTTCTAGGGTTGGCTAATTACTACCAGAGGTTTGTCAAAGACTACTCCAGAATTGGCGATTGATTAAGTTGGATGTTAACATGATAATCGGGATATGATAGTCGTTTGAGATTTTGATATCAAATTTTATCATATCACGGTCAATAAGTTAACGTTCAACTCAGAATTTCGTCTATTTTTTAACGGAAAATGATGACTTTGGAACATAATGAATAGTTGGGTGACCATTTTGTAACTTGTGATAGTCAAGAGACTCAACAAAGCAACACTCTGTAGTTAAAGGACCATTTTATAACTTTTAATAATCAAAAGACTTAATAAAATAATATTATATAATCAGAGGACCATTTTCATTTTTTACCCTAAAAGTAGTTGTAGACTTAAGCAGATAATATATGTTTGAATGAGTAATAAAACAATATATTAAAAAAATTGACCTTGTAAGCCACTTATAGCCGAAGTCCACACTTCGTGAACCGACAGGAGGAGAATCTTGGCTTTTGTCCCGTGACAAAGGCCATCCTTTTCCCACTCCACCGAACATGACACGGTCCATACTCCCATTTCTAGCCCTTCTTTTGGCGGTTCCTACAACAACCGGCGTTTTACACCCTTGACCTTGACTGTCCAAATTACAAAATGCATGCAAATTTAATAGGGTAAATTATGTGTTTAGTACCTAAACTATCATTTGTGATCTGTTTTAGGATCTAAACTTTTCAAAAATTTCAAAATATACCTAAGTTTAGTTTTTGTTTCATTTTAGTACCCCATTCAAATTTTAACATTAAATTTTGAAAAAAATGAAAATTTATGTACTAAGACGGACAAAAAAAATAGTCTAGGTACTAAACGTTTTAAGTTTTTAACGATGGGTACTAAAATGAAACAAAAACCAAACGTTCTGTATGGTTTTGAAAAAATCGAAAGTTTAGATACTAAAACCGGTCAAAATTAATAGTTTAGGTACTAAATACGTAGTTTACCCAATTCGATAAGGATAAACTACACCCAGTATCACTTAATCATAGCTTTTATAACATTCAGGTCTTTTTTTCTTTCTAAAATTACAAACAAACCACCAATGATGATCTAGAAATTTATTAAAATTGGGGTCAAAAGATAGAGAGTCTGATAATATCTCCTGATCAATGATCATATAATAATATCTAAGTTTTTCAATTGAAGGACCAATAAAAATTGTTTTATTTATTTCTTAAAAATATATAAATTTTTTAGTATTAATAAATATTAAAATTGTTTGCAGGGCCCAAGCTACTGCTAACCCCTACCCTTACAAATCACCCAATTAATATATTACTATAAACATGCAAGTGATAGTTAAATATTAGATGAGAATAGTAAGTGGCTTGGTATAATATTAATTTAATCTGATTTTCAAATTAATTTAATAAAATTAATTTTTATATTTAAAATTTCTATCATTTTAATTTTTGTTCTTCTCTTATAAATATTATATTATTTTTATATATAATTAAAGTTTACTAATAACTTTTTATTGATTTATTGCATACTGCAATTATTCAATTCCTATTTTAATATGGTAAAGGCATTTGAGTTGATAGTATCGTGAAGAATAATTGAATTGATGAATTTTTTAAATATAAAAAAATTGATAATTTAAATTAGTTTAAAATAAAATTAAGTTAAGTGTATCCTAAAATATTAACATTTTCTTAATATTTTTAAGTTAAAAAATATTTTAAGTTGTCTGACAACTTAAAATATTTCTTACCGAAAATGTTAAAATATTAACAATTTAAATTATACTTAACTAAAAATATTATAATTTTTATAATATTTCCGGTCACATTTATTTCTTATTATTTTTTTAATTTTAAATTAAGTTACCGTTCACTATTAAATTGCCACAATTTCACGTCAAAACAAAACTAGGTAAAAAAAAGGGTAAACTAGCTCTTGGTCCTCCAATTAAACATTGGGTCTCACAAAAACTTTATTCCCCAATCATTGGGCAAACTCGGGTTATCAAATGTTTAGGTCCAATACTCGAATATTAACTCAAAATTCAAATATATATCAAGATAAATTATACATTTAATATCTAATTTATACTTTTTGTTATGTTTTGATACTTAAATTGTATTTTTTTTAAATTATACTTAACGTTTAATTTAGATTTTAATTTGATATTATATCGTTAAAAAATTAATAGAACTACTAACGTGATATTTTTTATCACTTCAACATCACAGTTAAATTTTTAGCAACGACATACCAAAATAAAATTTAAATATTATATATGATTTTAAAAATAAAATAAAATATAGATACCAAAATGAAAGTAACGGTTTAAATACTAAACATGTAATTTAACCTATAAATTATAAAGTATGATATATAAAATTAAAACTCCTATTAATTTTAATGAATTAGCCAATGAAAATCATTAGTTTCCCCTCTATCAATAAGAATGAATGGATTTCAAAAAGGAAAAGCTTTTAGGGTTAATAATTAGAATGATAATTATATGGTCCTAATGCCCCATGGTTCATCTTATTTCGAATTAAACAAAAAGTGGGCAATAACAAGGTCCTTGGGATCCAAGCTGGCTATGCAATTACAACCTAATTATACTAAGCTGATTATTAGATTTTGATAATTTGGTTAAATAATTAATTATCTTATTAATTTATTTCTATTTGAAACTTATATTTGTATATTAACAAGTATTTGTGATTATTTCAAATAAATCGTTTTTAAACTACGATGAAAACATTCTTTTACTAATCGTAATTATTATATTTATATTTGGGCATAAGGGTTATTTTTATCCCTGTAATAGACATAATTTATCATTTTTGTCCCTATTGTATTTTTACTTCAATTTAGCTCTCGAAATTATTAAACTGCATCATTTTATATCCTACCCATAACTTAAAATCCGAAATTATAAACTCTAAACCATAACCATGTAACCTCTAAACCATAAATTTTAAATCTAAACCATAATTTAAGATTTATAATTTAGGGATAGAGTATAGAATGATATAATTAAATAATTTTAAGGACTAAATTAATGCGAAAATACGACAGGACAAAATAGTATATTGAATGGATAAAAGTAACCTTAAAACTTATATTTATTTTAGTCAGATTTTGTTATTGAAACAATAAATATAGGAATGGAGTAAATTTTATGATGTTATTTATGCACGAAATATGCTTTCTTTCCAAAATTATATAGCTAGCGAGAAAAATAAAATGGAAATCAAATTACATAAAAGTTACGTATCTTTAATATCTTCGTACCCAACCCCTCCCAAAAAATTATACTATGTAGTATACAAAAAAATTGACAATAATAAATATAAAAAATAATTCTAACAGCCACCGCTGGCGGCGGCGCCGGTTGCAGCAGAGTCAACAGAACTTCCAACAAGTTCTTCATAGCCTTTGAAAAGATCTTCATCTACATGCACGTTGGGGATCAAAAGCTCGTCGTCGTCGTCGGTTTCTCCGTCCAGTGCCATTTCAAAAGCCATGTCGACGCTTTCATCTTCGCCTGCGTTGTGCACGGCTGCGGCGGCGTCTGCAGGTGCCGAAAGTGGGGTCGTGGGAGATATGGGGAGAGGTTGTTGCTGCCGGAGCGAGGAGAGGAGCAAGAAGCAGTGGTGGTAGGCATAGTTTCCGGGGCGGAATCTTTGACGGTGGCGGCCTTTTGAACAGTTTGAGTTGAAACCTTGTTTCGAGTGCTTCCGGCGAGAGAATTCCGATGAGTGGGCTTAGGGTGCGTGTGTTCGCCGGTGTAGGTAACGATGAAGTTGTTGGGATCCGTATTGCTACGCTCCACTTGTTTCCTCGCCGAACACCCTTTCGAACTGCTGCACCTGTAGTAGTTCCTGAAAGAACCAAAAAAGTTTACCTTTAACTACACATTCTTCGGTTAAGTAAGAGAGTTTATAATCCGAATTTAATCAAAAACGAAATTAATTAACCTCGGATAAGGAGAGCCTTTGATGGGTTTCTGCCCGTATTTACGCCATGCCCAAGGATCCGACGACAAATTATCTGCCGTTACATGGCATACGTTTCTCTTCGGCTGGTTCTTCCTGCAATGAAATGGAGGATCTTTAGCTGAGAAAATACTGTAAAAAGCGCCAATCTTTTGAAAGCCAAAGTACGGCGTCGATTTACCTCTTTCTTGATCTTGGAGTCTGAGCCGGTGGTTGAATTCGTTGTTGCAGCTGCTGCTGCTGCTGCTGTGGTTGTCGTTGCTGATTTCCGAAACCGCCGAAAGCTAAAATACTAGCGGAAGCGGGAGACAACGGGGAGCCAATCCCAACGGCGGGGGCGGCGGGGGTTGAGGGATGTTCATGATGATGATTAAGTTGGCCACTAGATCCTCCATGGACAGAACTCGAAGAACATGGATCTATGCCACGATTAGTGGCGATCATAGTGGTGGGGTCGACTTTCGGCAAAAAGGGCTTGTAAGAATCATGCAACGAACCACTTTTAAAGGTAAAGGGGTCGTCTTCTTCCTCAAACGTCAACGACGCCAAGCAAGCCAAAGGATCCTCACGGGAACTGCCGCAATTCTCATTGTTGATGCTGCTTTCCACGGCGGAATCTCTGCTGCTATTGACGGCGGCCGACGTACAGCTCCTCACAACGGCGTAAAGGTCCCAGTCCTCCGCCATTCCCTTCGAGCTGCTGTCTGAAAATCGATGAGATTTCGGTGCCGGCTGCGATTTTTCTTATACTCAAATTGGGAAGAAAAATGAAGGGAACGCAGGCAGAAAGGACGGCGTTGACTTTCGTTTATGTGTGAAACAAAGAAAAAACAAAATAAGCATCAAAGAAAAGTGAGGAAATGGCGGTGCACTGACTTGGTCATTGTTAATTTATTTATACAGAAAATTAAAACATAAATGTGTATTCATCTGATAGGAATGAAAGAAAGAAAAATGGTCAAATTCTAAATTTCACCCCTCTATCTAAAGAACACAAATAGTCCTCTGACTATAGGTATTGCTTTATTAAGTCTTTCGACTATTAAAAGTTACAAAATGATCCTTCGACTATGGAGTGTTTCTTTGTTGAGTCCCTCGACTATTAAAAGTTACATAATTGTCACCCGACTATTCATTATATTTCAGACTCGTCCTTTTTCATTAAAAATTTGGTGGTTGTTTAAGTTGGATGTTAAAATGATGACTGTGATATGATAGTCGTTTGAGATTTGGGAATCAAATTTTATCATATCACAATCAATAAGTTAACGTTTAGCTCAGAATATCATCCATTTTTTAACGAAAAATGACGAGTTTGAAAATAATGAACAGTTAAATGACCATTTTATAACTTTTAATAGTCAATGGACTCAACAAAGCAACACTCCATAGTCGAAGGATCATTTTAGAACTTTTAATAGTTAATGAACTTAATAAAGCATTATCCTATAGTTGGGAGACCGTTTACGTTCTTTACCCAAAAATTAAATAATAGAATCAATTTTATTTTGATAATTGGATAAAATTTCTCAATAAGTCATAAAATAATAGTATTTATCCTTTACGCATTCTATCAGGGATGCACGATAAACGTAAGATCTTATGTTAGGGGGTAAACTTTTAAAATTTTAAGAGTAAGAACTTATAAAATTGTATGAAACGAAAATCGATTATCAATTAAAAATATCTAAAATATATACTAGTTTACAATTTTCAGGGACATCTACCCTCCCTTTTGATTCATCTCGCATTCTATCAATTTTATTTGAATTTTATTTAAAAATAATTGAATGAATTTAATCCTTCAATTTTACAAATTAAAATACAAAATACTTAAAAACTATTTTGATAATTTAGTGTCCTAATGACAAATAATTTTGTTCAATGATCAACATAAATTAAAATATTAATTTCATGGTTTTTTATAAAGTAGAGAGGTGAGAATCATAATTAGACCATGGGGAAAATATAATTGTTTCTTTGTTCTTTTCTTTTTGTGTTGGGTTATAATTCCTCCACATTAGCTTCTTCTTTGACTTTGTGAAAATGTCAAAAGTGGGGCAGAGCAAATGTGGGGAAATTGTGAGGACGATGCTTGCAATTTCTTATTGGATATTTTTTCCCCTAGGGACAGAAAAGATCAGGCACTATGGCCACGCTCTCTTTGTGCGCGTGTACATCAACTCCAATTAGGTCATAACTGTTCATTCACATGCCGATGGATCGGGAAGTTTGATGAGCGATCAATTCTCTAATTAATTCTCATATAATTTAAGTATTTTTATATTTTTATTGATAATTAATCTTCAGCTTCTAATGTAAAATTTTGCGTTCATCTTGTACGACTATGTCATTACTAACTGTCATAATATAATTTCTCTATATATTTTTTTCCAATTTTTTTTATTTTACTGAAGAATGAGATTTTTTTACACTCAGAGCTAGATTAGATATATGTTTTTCTGTAAAATTTTAGTTGAATTCCAAATATGATAAAAATTTACTGAACTCGTATCAAAACGAATGTCGATGAAGGATCTAAAACTCATATCAAGTCCGGATTGATAAAAGATCTGATTTGACCCAACCCAATTTGATGTTATCTCTAATACTAACATTATGATATGAATATGATATTTTTTTCCTTGATAAACACCTAAAATAGTTGCTTCAATTGAGGTTGTAAATTATCATAAATGGAAACTCATATTAATGCAATAAAAATCCTATTATGGTTTTCCATGATTTTTAAATATTTAATAAATGTTGAATTTAATGTATTTGGATAGCACAAATTAAGGAAAAAAATGTTTGGTAAATTTAGGTTGTACCCTAGTCTAAGAATTGAACCTCCTATTGTTTAGTGCTATATGGAACTTGTATGCAAATCATCCAACGGCACATCATTCATACATTTATTGTCCATCACATATATTTTGTGCCAATCGTGTCTATATATATATACATGTTGTCGTTTCAGTTCTCAAGGTTTTGTCTTGTCTAATCCGGATTGATCCGGGTCGCACACGTGATTTTGGTGAGTGAGTCTTCTAACGGGATTTCTGCATTCACAAGGACTCGAACTCGAAATATGCTTAAGCGAAATCAAATTGCTTACCACTTGAACCAACCCTATTAGTAATCATGTATATTTAATATTAGGATATTAAGGTTTTTCATAAAAAAAAAAAAGATTATAAAGGTTTAACATATGGACAAAAAATTTCTTTTTTATTATATGGTTATCGATTGTTCACAATATTATTTTACTTTTTCATATAAATTCACCATCTTCTAGTTGAATTATACATTTATTATAATTTAGATTATATTGTCGGATCAATCTGCCTATTTTAAAATATTATATAAAAAAATTAATCGATATTTAAGATTCTTTTATTATTTATTTGAATTTGAGAAACAATTTATATATTAATTATTTACATAATGTTATTTTAAGTTATTTTTTTTACTTATTTTATGTTGGTTTGTATATTTGAAGAGTATATATTAATTTAAAATCTAAGTTACAATTTATGAATAATTGACGTAATTAGTCATGCTTGTGTATGGCATAATCACTTGTTCGATCTAATTTGAAAAGGTGACAGCTTTTATTGGTAGCGGATGTTTGTAGTGATCATTTGTTATATCTGTTTTATTGAAGATGTTTATTTTAAAATTTTATTTGTATTCCTCTCTAGTAATGAATTCAAAAAAAAAATTAGGCTGAGTCAATATAAACATAATAATTTATGTACTAGTATTTTTTAAAATTTAAAATGTAATAAGAATTATATATATGGATTAAATCTAGAAAAAATATTAAATGGATTAATATACTTTTCTATTCAAGCATTTTTACTAACATAGGCAAAAATGCTTGAATAATGCTTGAAGGGTTTTTATTTCCCCAAGTAGTGCATTCGCCAAACTATTACCCAAATAGAGTGAGTTCTATAGTGATGCAAGTTTCACGGGCGGATGACGATGATGCAACTATTACCCCAAGGAAAATGCGTTGAATACGTCTGGTAATCCCCGAGTCTTCAACTTCAAGATGCTTGAATATGCGTAGAAATATTGGTGTCTTCACTATGTACTGTAGCAAATGGTCTATTTGGGGAAATATTTTGGCGGGTGCACTACTTGGGGAAATAAAAATCCTTCAAGCATTTTTACCAACATAATTCTTACATGCTTTTATTTAGGGTAAACTAACTATTTGGTAACCCGTCTATTACTTAATTTATGTTCATTGATTGTGAGGGAGCTTAACTATAAATAGAGAGCCTTTCTTCCTTATTTGTATCATTCAGAATTATTCTTCCACTCTCACTTTGAGAGAAGAGTAAATAAAAGCTCTGAGGCATTTGCTCTAAGTTATATTGTCTAATCGGGCTTGCCAAGATCACCAGACTTGGCCCATCACTTGGATAATGCTAGAGAGTCTGTTCACATTGGTTGTGCAAACATGGAAAGTGAAGATGATCATGAGAGCTCGATAATTATGGCAAGAGATAACAAATAAATAGAGATTGTGGATGATTCTTACCATATCTAGTGTGAACACTTATCGAAGGAAATATTCCTGCTAATTGATGTAATTAGGTAGGATGGGATTGAATTTCCTTAGATAGTGTATTTTGTATTAAATAGGGAAAATCTTAGCCTTTGATGTAAATCGATCCTAGCCATTGATTGTGAGGGAGCTCAACTATAAATAAAGAGCATCTCCTCATTTATATCATTCAGAATCATTCTTCCACTCTCACTTTGGGAGAAGAGTAAATAAAAGCTTTGAGGCATTTACTCGTTTTGGTCACTCAACTATTATTTTTTTCAAAATCATAACTAACCTTACATTTTGGTTCTATTTTGATCACTCACCAAGTCACCATTAAAAAATTTAAAGATGTTAACATGACATTTTTTTAATTATTTTTCAATCATTATATGACATTATCTTATAATGACACGTTAACATCACAATTAAAATTTTAAAGATGACCAAAACGTAAAATGAGTGTGATTTACAATAAATAATGGTTATATTACCAAAACATAAAGTAAATAATTTATGAGTGACTCAATAAGTAATTTACCTTTTTTTGAGCACAGGGGGCCACGACCTAGGTAAGTCTAGGCTTGGATTCACCCTACTCATATTGTACGATTTTTTTTGTTATTAATATATATGTGTCAATTTTGAAAAATATTTTTGAATACGTTATGAAAGATGAGTCTTTTATCTCCATTATGAAATATGAGTCTTTTATGTCGTGGAGACCACTCCCAAGGCGACGCGAGCAAAAGCTAGAGAATTTTAGAACTGTGGGAGAAGAATTGCACCATAGGGCTGGATCCGTCGGTTCGCTCCCGACATTTTTACCAAAATATCACCCTTAGACCTAATAATTATCTGTCAAACATTCTCTACCCTAATATTACCGATATAGTACCCTTTCTAACATGGTGAAAATAAAGCGCAGATCGTTAGTCGCGCCTTTGCGGGTTCTGTCTGAGTTGGCGCCACGTAAGGAAAGGCTTATGTCGCCATCTGCGCCTTCGCTAAACCTCTGACACGTACGGAAGGTGCGAATTCCTTCCATTATGCACGTTGAATTATTGATACTCCATTATTACCCAAGCCTGAAATGTAATACCCCAAATTTTTATCTAGCGACTAAAATGTAAACTTTGAAAAGTGTATGGATCAAAAACAAACTTTTGAAAAGT